CGTCAATTGTCTGACTTTATGTCATGTTGCAGCTTGACGATGTAGAGCGGGATCCGACCTCTCTGCCTCTAGACCGCTTCTTCATCGAATGTCCACCGTCTACCCCAGGCCCCATCTCTGCAAAGTTAAATAAGCTCAATTGGCAATGTGATTCCTGTGGAAACCTTGGCTCAACTAGTATTCAAACAACTCTGCTCGCCACACATGAGAACCGCCGCGGACCTCTGGCAAGGTTTACACACCGCAACCCCACCACCCGGAGGTTGATGCTGGAGGTAGTGACGAGCAAGCTGCATGCTGAAGGTGATGCCGCGGAAACCGAAGAGAAGTACGAAAGGAAAGCTGCAGGAATTTTAGCCCTCCCGTGGGCCTGAAAGCCCAGGCCGATGCCTCCTGGTCGTCCGGGGGTGGTCTCTTATGGGATGTGCCGCAATTGTTGACATCTGGGGTTTCCGAAGTTCTAAACTAGGTTTCCTCATCAAGGTCTGCAATTTCGGCAGAGGGTCTGTAACTTAGAAGAGCCAGGTCGGCGCTGTGACGACCTTGAGATCTTTGTCTCCTCTGCGTCTACCCTGTCCGTGTAGTCGACAAAAAACACGAAAATTCTGCGGTCTTTGTGAAGATGACATTCAGGTTCCGATACCCACCGCTCCCGGCAGCATATTGGGGGAAGTCAGGCAAGGGCTTTGGCGGGGCTGTGAAATACGTCGTTTCAGGGGTCTACGAGGGCACGAGATAGCCAAAGTACAGCAGTCAGCAGCGCTTCTCGCCACAGCAGCACTGATCGTACTCACATATGCCAGAAATAACACCAGTCTACAGTCACAGTCACAGTCGCAGTCGAAGAAGCCTTTAGACAGCCGGCTCCGAGGGTGGAGAAGGATACGGAGTTGTAGTTCCGTGGAAATGTTGGGAATGCGTGGGTTTCAAATGTGGGGCCGAGGATGCTTCTTCGCAGAGAAATCACACTTAGAGTGCAGGATTTGAGGACCTGCCACATCAAGTAACGGCACCACGTCATCACAACTGCCTTATGTTTGCGACCCCCAGAAGGAGGACTCCGGCAAAAAAAAAACCTAAATGGGCAGTCTCTTACGCCCCAAATGCTTACAGTCTTCAACTTGGCAGGTCCGAATCCTCCAAACCTTGGCAGGCCCGCCTGACAGCATGGTAATCAACATCGCCACGTTTTCCGAGACGAGTCCACCTCCAAACGTCAAACCCTAAACCCTAAACCCTAAACCCTAAACCCTGAACCCTAAACGTCTAGTTTCCCACTTGAGCTCTCAGAGTTCGGGAACTTTTTTTCTGGAGTTCGGGGAGTTGGGGGCTTTCCCTAACCCCCAGGTACCTACTATATAGAGCCCTAGGGGCCCTAGTACCCTATATAGTAGGCACCTGGGGGGTTAACGACAGTTATTATTAATATTATCATAAATATTACTACTATTAGTTGTTATTAGTATTATTAGTATTAGTATTATTATGATTAGTGAGGGACGCAGTAGCTAGAGCTCTGTTCCTACAGACTGCATCTCAGCCGCACGGCACTTCGAGGGCCAAGGGGTTTCTCAGTGACAGGGCAGCCCAGGGGTGCGCGTGCGACTCCCCAACAGTTCAGCGCTTGCAGAGAGGTCCCGCCAACACCCTGTAAGAAAGAGGATGTACTTTCGAAAGCCTTGTCTCAAGAACTTGTAAAACAGGCAATGCGTCAACCTCGAACTGAGCCTAAATCCCTGAACCACCGAGGCGGTAGGGTCTGGGGCTTTCAGGACTGCGGTACCAGTTGGTGTCAGGGCGTAGGGCGAAGGCCCAGCTTCCCCCATCTCTCAAAACTTCAAATCCGAAGACACCCATTGCCAACTAGCAGCCCAAGCCCCCTTAAGCGCTGACCTTCTCAAGCACGCCTCCGAAAACCTATGAAACAGCTCGAGTTTTGAGTTTCGACCCCATACCTAGAACACCTAGAGACCGAAGAAGATGATACTCTTGGTTCTCTCAATACTTCAACCCACGACTCTTTCTCTATGACCATCACGTGCAGCAGAGTGGCTGGGGATGAGCTGCATCCGTAGCAAATAGAGCCTCAATTCTCGGGCCATGTTGCAGAAGGAGTTGGGACATTGGCATACAGGGCGAAAGCCCTGCACGATGCGAAGGATATCCTGGAAAGGGTCTTATGGCTCGAATGCAAGGATGACCTAGAATGGACGCCATTATCTTTGAAAGCCAGTGGTACCCAGTGAGTCAGCGACGTCGGCACGACAAGGCGAACGTAAGAGAGAGAGACTGGGAGGTGAAACACGGAGCCCTCTGATCTCTGACGTCACCATCGGAATTTCCAGCTTCGGGCCCAGATGGAGAAGACCCCAACAAACAAAGTCCCGTGATTTTTGAAGCCCTCTTTTGGGACTCTTCCTCACAAGCCACGATGATCCCGAAGGCCCCTCAATTTGTGCAGTCTATCACACCCCCCCCCCCCCCCCCCCNNCCCCCCCCCCCCACCCACCAGTTCTCGTTCATGGAGACAGCCAATCCAATGCAAGACCGCCTTTTGTCGAGGTCCAGACCTTGAGCACTAACATTGAAGCTCACCCGCAGACTGACATCCGAACCGTACCGGCGTTCTTGTTGCAGTTGTGGCCGGTGGTGGTGATAGTGGTGGTAATCGCATCATCCTCTTCATCATCTTGTCGTTCTTCGAAGAGGCTGGGGTTCTTCAACCCCAGCGTTGAAGACTCCGGTCAGCAGCAGACAGGTAGAACGCTCATGGTAAGCACCAAGTATCCCTGTTTGTCGCTCCGAATGACCTTGCGAGGTCCTTACAACATATCAACACAGAGGCCGAAACCCTCCTTTCCGACCCACTTCTTTATGAAACCCTAAACCCTAAACC